CCTTGGCCTTGGCCTCGGGTTGCCGGTCCTTGGACACAACACTGCTAGTTACCCCCAGATCTACAGCCCTTACGGGATAACGAAGGTTTATTTTTTAATATGTTTTTAAAAACGGTTTAAAATGTCCACGTTAGGCGTTCAGGCCAACTTTTCGGGAATAAGGTCATATTTTCCCGTTTCGGAGGCCTTTTATTCCCAAATGCAACATCGGATTCGGACGAACGTGGTCGGGTTGGATACCAGGAGTGCTCTAGTTATCCTTTGACCTACAGCCCTCACGGGATAACGAAGGTTTATTTTTTAAGAATTTTTTCAAAACGGTCGAAAATGTCAACATGTTTGGGCGTTCAGGCCAACTTTTCGGGAATAAGGTCATATTTTCCCGTTTCGGAGGCCTTTTATTCCCAAATGCAACATCGGATTCGGACCAGAGTGGTTGAGTTGGATAGCCGGGGGGCTGTAGGTACCCCCAGACCTACAGCCCTCACGGGATAACGAAGGTTTATTTTTTAATATTTTTTTAAAAACGGTTTAAAATGTCCACGTTAGGCGTTCAGGCCAACTTTTCGGGAATAAGGTCATATTTTCCATTTTCGGAGGCCTTTTATTCCCAAATGCAACATCGGATTCGGACCAGAGTGGTCGGGTTGGATAGCCGGGGGGCTCTAGTTATCCCCTGACCTACAGCCCTCACGGGATAACGAAGGTTGATTTTTTAAAAAATTTTTCAAAACGGTTTAAAATGTCATTATGTTTGGCGTTCAGATAAACTTTTCGGGAATAAGGTCTCATTTTCCCTTTGCAGAGGCCTTTTATTCCCAAATGCAACATCGGATTCGGCTCACTTGACGTCGATTTTGCGAGTGGAGGCTGGCTTGACTGCAGTTGTTCAGCGACATGGTATCCTGCTTTCAGGGCTCTCTCGTTTACCTTTGCGGGGTTTCTCATGCACGTTGCTCATTTCTCCGTGCATTCACGCAGGCGAACAATATACTCCACATTTTTGTTTCGATGTGAATGGTTTTTGTTTGGAGATGCAGTTCAAGCTTATTTGGGAGCATAGCGCTGTTGGCGAGCTTTTCACCACATACCAAGCACAACGGAGTCGGTGCCGTTGCATCTCCGGTAAAACTACAGTAAATCCAAATGAAAGAGCGCTTTCGTTGTATTGGCTTGCATGGGAAACTTCGCTTGTCTCGAAGTACAAGGCAAGAAGCTATCTGCTGCTGCTACCTACCGGTATGGAAGAGTACTACATGATTACTTTGGCAGGCGACAGGCCGCACAGGCATCCAAATTGGATCATTTCCCACGGCACACCTGACATTATCTCGGGACACACTGGTATGCCGCGGCACAGGGTTTGAAAAACAGTCTGTCTCAGTAGACAGACTGTCGAACATCGGCAGTATATGTGTGAGCCAGCAATGCGTCACTTCACTTCACTTCAACAGGAAATACGAACATTCAGCTCTTATAATGATGACATTATTGATAAGCATTGGATTGAAAAGAAAAACTCAATGTCAAGCATGCACCATCAATGTAATATTTTTTTTCTTAGATATCATGTTCAATCTACATTTATTTGAATGCACTACAAAGACAAGGGACAATTTAAACTCTAAATTTTAGAGTGTTCCATTGACTTGCCACGCTTGCTTTTGTTACGTGAGAGGAAACCGTAGTCCCCATGCAGGCAAGGGAGAACATGCAAACCACATAGGAAGGCCGCAGCCGGAATCAAACCCTGCACCTTTGCACTGTGAGGTCGGTGTGCTCACCAGTTGGCGACCATGCCGGCCTCCATTCATTTCAATGGGACATATTACCAATTTTTCCATCCATGTATCCAATCCACCTCCTCTGCTGAATGTTGTCGTGCCTAAATATGGCGTGGCCACAATGGACTTTTTTTTTTTACATTCATTTTATTCCGGCTGTAGAGGAGGGGAGCTGTCCATTTCCTTATGGCCCTCCTTGGACACAGGTTCTTTTATTTCTCTATAAGGTGGAAGAAGACCCTACACCACGTCGACTTTTTTTCAGTTTATCACAACGCAACACGAATCGATTCGGGCTCCTGAGAGTTGCAGATTTCGTCAGGAAGCGTAGAAAAAAATGCAGTCATGAGAATATATAGGGACAATATGATAATGAGAGGCGGGCAGTTATGCCTCCATGCAAATCCTGGAAACAAAGAAATGTACATGTCATCTGACCGGTGTAGCTGGAAAGAGTTGGGAGTGGTGAGGTGAGACCAGATCACCACTACCCACTATTGTCTTCGGTCTGATCTTTGGTGTGATGGCAGGAACACAGATGCTTGAGATAACAGTTACTCTTTTGATGTCAAACATGTCCTCTGGAGGGGGCCCTAAAAGTGGTGGGGGTCGAGGGGCACTAAAGGTGATTGTAATCACAGTGAGCAGTAAATACCTCTAACAGCATTCTACATTCTTTGTTTTCGTGTTTGAACATAACCAACAACAGAGTGGGGCTAAATAAAATCACAGTAAGGAATAAATTCCTTAACACGGCCCAAAGCTACTTTGCTTTTGTGTTATTGTGTTAATCAGAACTCTCCAATGTTCGTTCTTTGACAGACAACATGCAGGGCAAGTTTGATCAGGGACAGATGGACACCGAACAATAGTCCAGTCCAGTTACTCTTTTCCGATTGAGCACTATTTTCAGGGTGTCCAAAATTCTGCTGCTCCTAACTGGAGCTCATAATCACAATTCTGGCTTCCCTTCCCTGGCTCCCAGCACATTTCAGAGTTCGCTTTAAGATACGCTATTTGTTTTCAAACCCTTAAATGGCCTCGCCCCACCTTACCTCTCTGAACTTCTCCGCCCCAATGCACCTGCCTTTTGCCTTAGGTTTGCAGACCAGACACTAGTGGAGGTGCCAAGGACTAAAGTGGAGCCTCAGAGGAGACCAAGCCTTTTCTGTTGCCAGTCCGTCGCTCTGGAATGACCTTCTGCTAAATGTTAGCAAAGTCTCCTCCCTGTTCATTTTTAAAACTGAAAACACCAATATTCATTCACTTTCGTCCTAACGAGATGGACACTGTTCTATTGTTTTCTGGTGTCTACTATATGTGTTCGTATCATAAATTTGTGTTTTTAATTGACTGTTTTTACATTCTTTTGTTGTTGTATTGTTGTTATTTTATGTTACATGTAAGGTGCTTTGTCACAGTTCGAGCTGGTACGAAATATGCAACATGAATAAAGTTGTGTTATATTGTATTGTATAGGGACCAGGCCGGCCCGCAAATGGCAAAAATCCTTCGATAGACAGCTCAGTGATTTTCAACCAGTGTGCAACTGATGGGGCACATGAGTCTGAGAGCTTTTGTGTGCCGCGGTGTATTACCAAATTTCACTTAATTGGCCAAATAATGATTTATTCATAACATCAAGTAACTATGTTCATATTTTTTTCGCAGTGAATTATTGAGGCAGACAGAACAAATAAATGATCTATTAAATGACAGAAAGTCAATAATCTACATGTGTGTCCATTTCAGTGACATTTTTTGTTTTGTGGTGTGCTGTCATATTTTTTTACTTAAACTGTGTGCCTTGGCTCAATACAGATTGGGAATCACTGAGATCGATAGCTCGATAGGTTGAGAGAGATGGAGATTTTTAATCAGCTGTAAATACAGTAAAATATCCACAATTTATCGGAGCTCTATTTTAAATGCAGATCTGTGTGAAACTCCTTGGATGGAGTCTTGCAATAGTGTAGTTTCTCCCAGAAGTGGACTGGTTAAGTGAAGCGATTAAATAATAATAACACAAAAAAAGGATGTAAGGCAAGTATGCAGATTTCACAGGACTTTTATTTTCAAAAGCAACATTAGATCTAGATGAATCATACTGGGTGGAATCTTGGGATAGTCGAGTCTGCCGCCGAAGTGGACTGGTTTTATGATATCTACGCAATTTTCCTTTGTAATATTTTATCGCATTTCTATTTTGAAATGCAAAATCAGATCGGCAAGGTTCGCAACTGAAAGAAAAAAAGACAACAGTGACATCTTGCAACTTTGTTAGTTTATTTGAGAGACAGAAAAAAGTTGAACATGACAGACTGGTTCGAGACCAAATCTTGAACTGTGGGGTTGTAAATGTGTTTGTATAGTATTGTATTGTAAGTAATGCAAGTACAAATAAAGAGTGCAAAGTTAATTTGCCAATTTATGCTATGACTGAGGAGAAGTGTGTGACTTGACTTTGGCTCTGACTTTCTGTATGGAGGTCATGACTTCACTGGACTTGCTTGAAATTGAGTGCAAGCTCGACTTGCATGACTTCCGCCACAGTAACGTGGGAATTTCTTGAATGTTGAAGGTTTATACTTGAGACATACTCATCTGTACTGACAAAATATTTAAGTCTTGATTAAGACTGGAGTTCTTCCAAAAGCTCTTTGCTTATGGGGGAAGGGGA